CATACCTGTGTGTGGTTGACATACCGACCAGTAGATACTGTGAATAATGTAAGACATAATAATAATAACAACAACAATGATAATAATAATAATAATAACAATGATAATGTTTCCCCCTGGCGCAGACGGTTGCGGCAGTCGTCGTCTGTGCCGAGGAGGCTAGAGGTTCGAGCCCTGCGTAGACATGGTCGTATTTCTGATTGTCCCTTCTCCTATCGTCATCATCCTTTCATCTTATATTTCACACGTCAAGGCGTAACAACCTTGTTGTAATCCAAAGATACAGCTGAAAAACGTATCCTGGAAGAATCACACACGTTAATCGTGTAGCGTGGTCAGTAATGGCCTATACGCCAATAATAATAATAATAATAATAATAATAATAATAATAATAATAATAATAATAATAATAATAAAGGAATATAAATTCTGGACATTTATTTTCGGTAACATTATTCTTCCTCTGTAGTATGTATGTGAGAAAGTCAACCTTTCATCTTTTTTCTTTTGCTTTCCAAATGTGAGAGGTTTCTTTCTTCCTTTCTTTTTCTTCATTCATTCATCTTATGTATTTGCATGAAAAATATTATTGGTAGTCAATGTAGTATAGGTTTTAATAGGTAGAACAACCTCCAGTACCAATTAGTTTTAAACAAAATTCCCAAATAAAAAGCGTCAAATGTTGGAACATTTCAGAGAAGACGTTTTCACGTAGCCAGTGGCACTGAAAAAACGTAATTATCATGAAATAGACTGTGAACGCTTCAATCTCGAAAATGTTTTTACTAGAAACTTCGATGCTGGGTATGAAAGAAGCTCGCGTTAACGGAATGGCTAATATTGACCAAGTTTATTCACTCAATAATTCACGCCATTTTTACAATCTGCCTTAATTCAAACATTCACACGCAATCGTTCATCAAATATTCCTTATTCGATCATTCCTTCTTCAAAATCACTCCTCATTAAATCAGTATTTATTGAAATTTATACATGCGCAGAACTTAGAAAAGTTTGCCAGAAACTCAATCACAGATACCGGCTACTCTCGCCAGGCGTCAAGCCTGAAGAATATACGAGGCTTCTTTTAACCTATCAAACGGCCATTGAACCGAGCAGCCCGCATTGCAAGAGAGTACTCCACCACTAAGTCACCGATGCGGTTTGTTCCAGCGGTCACCACTTCTGAACACAGCTGTCTCCTATCAACCTATAAAAGGTCTATGCATCGGCCGGGAATCGAACCCGGGCCGCCCGCGTGGGAGGCGAGCATTCTACCACTGAACCACCGATGCGCTTTTTTCTACCCAGTCGTCACCACTTCTGAACACAGCTGTCTCCTCTCAACCTCTAAAAGGACTATGCATCGGCCGGGAATCGAACCAGGGGCGCCCGCGTGGCAGGCGAGTACTCTACCACTGAACCACCGATGCGCTTTTGCTACCCAGCCGTCACCACTTCTGAACACAGCTGTCTCCTCTCAACCTATAAAAGGACAATGCATCGGCCGGGAATCGAAACCGGGCTGCCCGCGTGGCAGACGAGCATTCTACCACTGAACCACCGATGCGCTTTTTCCTACCCAGTCGTCACCACTTCTGAACTCAGCTGTCTCCTCTCAACCTATAAAAGGACAATGCATCGGACGGGAATCGAACCCGGGCCGCCCGCGTGGCAGGCGAGCATTCTACCACGGAACCAGCGATGCGCTTTTTCCTACCCAGCCGTCACCACTTCTGAACACCAGTGTCTCCTCTCAACCTATAAAAAGACAATGCATCGGCCGGGAATC